AGGAAGGAAGGAAGGAAGGAAGGAAGGAAGGAAGGAAGGAAGGAAGGAAGGGAGGGAGGGCGGGCTTCCACCCCAACTCAAGGCCTGCTAAATCTCAAATAATAACTGATATTACCTAATGTCTCATGCTTCTTTGCACACATTATCTCAGTGATCTTACTGAGAACCCTCCAAGGCAGTGCAGTTCATGAGAGATGGTGGCTTGCCTAAGGCTCTGGAGGGAGTCCAGAGCAGAGCTGAGATTCCAGCCATGGTTTTTCTGACTCATGATTAGAAGAAATGTGAATTAAATAAGATGGAGAAGATAAAGGAAAGATGAATGAAAGCTGGGGTAGCACAGGAAGGCTAAATGACTGAATGTGGAAGTCCCTAATTTGAATCTTGTCTGATTGCTGATCCACCCGTGGTAGGTGGGACAGAGGGAACAATGTGCCTCTTTATGCCCTTACACATCACCTTACACAGCACATTGCTTTCTCTTCCACCCCTTTCTCCTCTTGCTTGCTTGCCATTCTTCTAACAGAAATGATGGAGTATGGTTGCGCCTTTGCCACAAACTCACTAGTATCTTTAGCCATGTTACAGTCTGAGCTTCAATTCCACTCCTTAAAACCAAGATAATATGATGTAACCACACAACATTGCTATCAAGAATATAACACATAAGAGACTTATAGTCCTTTGAATATTTCCAAGGGCTTTCTTGGTTTAATAATGCTGCTCCTCCCTGTTTATTTCAACTTAAATATACCCTGCTCTTCAGCACAAACAGTTAATGGAGCAGCTTACAGAGTTTATAAATGAAGAAGCACTGTTGTCAGGCTTCCAAATTAAAAGACCCAGTACAAAAAGCATCAAGGAACAAGCAAACTCAGAGCCTTGTGAAGGGGCTGGAAGGAGGTCAATTTGCAGCAAGTCCAACTTTTTATATCCCTGTGACACAAAGTGATCCAAATTCCCTAATCTGCTCTCAAAGGGGGCAGGTTTAGGCCATGCAGGCATATGGGAAGGTGCAAAAGAGCAGGAAATCACATTGCTATATGAATTCTGTGTGCATCCAATGCCCTGATCACAGACAGACCTACTATATATAGCTTTAAAGTTCAGCTTATTTGAGCCTCATTGCCATTGGGGGGGTGAGTGGGGGGAGAACCCCTTTCTTCCTCTTCTTTTTGCTACTACTGTGCTGGCATCTTCTTCTCAAATGATCTGATACTACACACTTAGTCTTACAACTGATTGGAGTACTGTTACCATTTATTTAATCATTTTTCTTTATTTGTTAGATTTGTATCCTGCTTTTTGTACAGGAGCGCATGGTGGCATACACAGTGCTCCCTCCTCCTACTTTCTCACACCACAATGACCCTGTGGGGTAGATTGGGCTGAAAGAGGAAGATGGGCCCATCACCACCCAGGGAGCTTCTGTGGCTGAGGATCAACTAGAACCTGGGTCTCCTTGCTCCTAGTCTACCACCATAACCACTACATCATACTGCCTCTCAATTTACTGATTATTACCTGAGCAATGGGGAGGGGGGAATTAATGTCAGCTGCTTTTCTTCCATGTCTTGGGTGGGGGGAATCTTACAATTGAGGATTTTATTCTCGGGGCATGAAAAGCAGTCTACAGCAATTCACTCTTAGTTTCTAGGAAGCAGTTGCAGAAAAGTTATTTCAATAAATAATAAAAAAATAAGGTAGCCCCAAATTTCTAAAAACACCCCCCCCCGCCAAAGATTTGCAGATCTTTGCTGAACTATAGGAATAATTGAATTAGGACCTACAGGCAGCTGCCCTTTGGACAAACCCCAAGGTTTCAGTAGTTGATGACATTTTCACCTTCCAGCCAAAAAAAAATGAGGACAGAAGAGGACACAGGACACATTATTTAAAATAATGTAGTTATTGTAGTTAAAGTATTATATTTTTAAAACATGAATAACCACTACAGACATAAAACTTAAAGCAGCAGTCATGGGCATTCACTGGAGATGGGGGGAGAGGGCAGGTGTCAAAAAAGTCAAAAGGGCAGATGTGACCCTGTGTTAAAGCCCATGTGTTGCATGTAAAAAAGGGGCGGGGTTTAGTTGTGTGGCTGGCCTTTTCACTCTTTTGACACCCCCCTGTGGATGTCTCTGAACTATATGATGCCATGCCACACTGTGGAGTTCTTCTGAGTGAAAAGTTTCTGTGCTGTTTCCTAAGCACGGGAAGGAAAAATAACTTGTCCTTTGTAGTTCTCTAAAGAAACAGTCAGTCAACTGCTGCCCCCTGACTGTTGGAAGACTTGCTTCGATTGCACCTCCCTCCCCAAATAAAACTATGTCATGTTAAAGCCATGATGTGTATACACACTCCAGGAACATTTCCTTCACAATCATGGCAGTAAATCAGGCTATGTGGATAAAGCACCCATACCAAGCCACTAATTCTCCCATTTGCTGGCACAGCTTTCTAGCTTCTGCTCCCATGTGCTTCACTTGCCCTGTAGCTATAACAATTTAGACATAACCAATTTAGAGCAGGAACTGCTAATTGTTGTGGTTTAGCCACTAAATCTCATTGTGGGATAAAAACAGTGTTAAATTACAACTTTCCCATCTGTACGATATGTTGTTATAGATGTATTAATCTCTTTCTGGCATGTTCTTAGCAAAGAGCTGTTTGTGATAATATAACAGCTGATAAAATGCATTTATGTTTGCCAGACACAATTTGGAGCAAAGCCAATAAACCCCATCTTAATTGGAGAAAGCTTACTTGACAATAAATAGTCTTATTTTTGAAAGCCCATCTTTCTTTGAATTTTTATTAATTTAGCAGAAGTTTGGATATAAGAGTTAAAATTATGCTTAATTTTTCAGGGGACAGTAGGCACTATTGTTTTAATGGAATATCTTAGCTAATATTTGTCCATAATGTTGTCTCTGCCTGTACACAAAAAGACCCAGGTTACAACATGCAGAATTTTCTCCCATAAAATGCAGCATTTAAGGTGGCTTTAGAAGGGGATTTTTAATCCTACTGGCTATTTGCCAATTCCAAGATGAGAGGCAGATTTTGAGCTTTGACAAGGAGCACCTCTTCAGCTTTAGCCCTCTAGGCTTTTGGCTTGACTAATTGAAA